ACCCTCAAGCTAAAAGCAATAAGCTTCTCCAGCCCTATAACCCGACGTAAAGCCCCAAACATAAATGCCTTAAGCCCCAAACCGGCGCTCCTGGCAGTTTGCCTCCGCTCCCGCTGATAGGAGCAGAGCAGCCACCGAGCCATGTGCACGGAGCGCCGCGCCGTGGAGTGCGGTGCGGCCCTTCCTTGCCAGGAGAGGGTCTAAGCATGAAGCGGGATTCGGTAATGCAGGGATCTTAATAAGTAGAATGAAGTTTTGGCGCCCATTATGCTATAATTACGAAGGAACCCCCAAAAACGTATTGGTAATTATTATTTAGGTCCCTCTACAAATTCCTTAGAAAAAGCCCTTCTAGTTGCCCATATAGACTGCTTTAGAGGAAACCCCAAAATGGCATAGGGAATTATTTAGCGGTCGACTTTCGACGGGTCACATGGACTTTGTTGGGGAGGTCTTCGAGCGTCGGTGGGATTCTGAGGTTTGGGCACTTTTTTTAAGGTGTTAGGCTTCAGGGTTGATGGGCTTATAGGGGTTTATGGGTTTAGGGCTGATTCAACTCCAAGGCCATTCAGCCTTGTAGGTGCTGACGCGGCTTTACTAACATTTTTAGGTCATGCCTGTGACTGATGTCCGGTTTGCAGAGGAATGTCTGTTGCAGCAAACTGTCTTTCGATCTTCATAGCCTTACCTGACTTACGAGAGGAGTGGACCCAAACAAAATAACGGATAGAACCGTTGCTATGCACAGACTATTATTGTAATTGGTGTTTTTTGGAGTTGAATTCCCCATCTGACCTGGCCAAGGAGCACATCATGCGCAGCAATGTCGGCCTGCCCCTGCTGCTTTCGGATTCCGAATCGATTTTTGAGGTATGCTGAAAAGGTGGGTCATCAGGTTCTCCATCGGAAGTGTACAATCGAGCCGACCCCATGCTTCCCAAAGCAGCACTTCACTGTCAAAGAACACAAACGGGAACACACAGACGTGCTCGATACCATCCAGAAACTGATGGTGCCGCGATGCTGCCACATGCGCATGGATAGACAAGCCGGAATCCGAATGTGTGGTGCTGCTCAACTTGACAACAGAATCGGCTTCACTGAGCGCTTAAGCACCTTCACTAACGATTAGACTCATTGGATCAGGACTTGCGGTCAGCAAAGTATTCATGGGTTCACAGCGTCACTAAAGCATACACGGAAATACAATAAGACAAGCACAAACAACTAAACAACAAAAAATGATGCTCATGTCACAGATGCTGTAACATCTTCGTACGGCGACCGTTTGGGAACTTCACAAAACGGCAATAATGGATGTGACAACTTTCACGGGACAGGAGCGGCTGAAAACACCGACCGCGCAAAACCCACTATGAAATTTAGAGGCACACCTAAACCTTAAAGTAGGTTGAATAATGGCCCAATACCTATAAACAGATGCCATTGTTCTACATACTGTTGGGGTCCAGGCAGAGAAGCAAGTCTAATTCGTTTCGGGAATTAAGGGGTCCAAAGAGAAGGCAACCAAAAAATTGCCGGCTTCTCTAGTCTGTACGACTCTAATGTGGGTGGTTGTCAAGGTTAGGGTCCCTTTTTGGGTACTCTAAATATTAAGTGCCGTATTATATTAAGGACCCAAAAAGGGACCCTAATTTTGACAACCGCCCGTATAAAGGCGGTAATAATTAGAATAGGGTTTTGGGGCATGTTGTACTTCAATGAGAGTAAATCAAGAGCCCACAAAAATAGTACTAATAGGTAATTATTCAGGCCGCTACATTACCCTAAGGCCCCAAAGTAGTTCCTTTTTGGGTTCGTATATAGAATCCTATAATGTAATCCCAAAAAGGAACTACTATGGGGCCTCTGGGTAAGCCCGAGCTCCTGTTTATGTCGAAGCTTACCCCGACGGACGCCCTGAACTCTGCCCTAGCTGCACCTGCAACAGCACGGCAGTGGTCTCAGTGTGGCCACGGAGGGTCGACAAAATCAGGGCCGACGAGCCTGTGCACGAACGAATTGATATGGGAATGATGGCAAATCAACAAGTCCTAGCCCTCCATGAGCAGCAGCAGCAGCAGCAGCAGCAAACCACCAGCACCAGTACCGCCACCGCTGCGTGCACAGCCACCTCCCAGCGCAACCACAAGCACGACGTTTACATCAGCACGCCGGCAGTCGCAACAACAAGAAGAAACACAGTCATCGACAGAAGCATCATCATCAGGGTCGTTATTATTGCATGGCAATCATTGTTATCGTGGTCGTCCGTGTCATCATCATCCCCATCGCATACGTCCCCACCAGCATCATCGTTCGTTCGTCGTCAGTATCGTCGCCATTGCCACCACCAACATCGGCACCAGACTGTACGAACAGCACCATCAGGATCATGACAAAGCAGTAAGGGAGGTGCACAAAGGAGAAGAAACATTATGGCAATCAGTCTTAACAGGTTGATCAATGCCTGTATACGAGCCTGATAAATCAGGACATATCTCGAACGATGCTTACATCTGCGCTCCCATGTATCGCTCGACCAGAGACACGTCCAGGCTGGAGTCGGGTTCACCCCAAAACCCTGAAATCCTAAACCCTAAACCCTAAACTCCTAAACCCTAAACCCTAAACCCTAAACTCCTAAACCCTAAACTCCTAAACTCCTAAACCCTAAACTCCTAAACTCCTAAACCCTAAACTCCTAAACTCCTAAACCCTAAACCCTAAAACCCTAAACCCTAAACCCTGCAGAAGGGCAGGCGATTGAGAACAACACACTGGACCTCGAGAATCTCGGAGATCAACGTCTGCATCCTTGGATTAGCAGGCTGTTCTGAAGTAATTAAAGCTTTGTAGGGTGTGCCCATAGGCCCCAAAGTAGTTCCTTTTTGGGGTTCATATATATAGAATTCGATAAGGTAATCCCAACAGGGAACTACTTTGGGGCCTATGGGTAGTGCGCTTAGGTTTTGATGTCAGATATGGCAGTAGCGATGCTGCTACGGCTAGCTATGCCTGGTCGAAAACATGGTAGGAATTGCTTGACAGGCGCGGGTAAAGCCACCGATTGCAATGTCCACCGTCATCATCGTCCTCATCACTAGCATCGTAGTGATCATCACCGTTATCAGCAAAATCGAAGTTGGCACGATTTTCAATATTGTGCAAGAAGGACAACGAGGTCTCAGAATCAGGATCGTAGACATCCCGACCGTACTCAAAGCGTGCTGAACACCAATGCACTGTTTTGCTCAGTGGTCGCACGAACAGGGCTTCTCACCATAGCAAAAACAATGTCCTGCGGCACTCCGAAGTTGCTGTAAGGTAGGTCCCCTTTGCATAAGGTCGCTGTTTGAGCCATACTCAGGTGTGTCAAGTGTTGCTATGTTACTCAAGCGGACAGTGATCTCAAACAAGTCCCTCCCGACACGGCATCAGTCTTGTTACAATGTTACCCGGTTCAGCATCCACAGCGGGTATCAGAACGTCATGCCCTACTGGCGCAATTGCAGCACCTGCAACGGCCAAGAGTCTGTCTGCAACAGAAGCTGGACCACCGCCGTCTGCCCAAAGGCAGCCGCCACGTGCAACGCATTCCTCAGAAAGTCTGCACAAGCACTGTCAACACTAGTGGCCACAGCGCAGGTCCCTGAATGTAGTCCAGGCGTCGAACTTGTGTTATCGAATGAGGCGCAGTCTGCCTGTGTCACGTGTCACATATATCTGCTTTTGCAAGTGGCAACTAGCCCCAGCTCGCGCTCTCCCTTTCTCTCTCTTTCTTACTCTCTCTCTCTCTCTCTCTCTGTCTCTCTCTGCCGGGCTTGGAGGTCGGGCCAGCGTTCAGGGCCCTTCCTCCGTGCGCGCGCGGCGCGCACTCTTACTCTTATACTCTCTCTCTCTCTCTTCTCTCTCTCTCTGTCTCTCTCTCTCTCTCTCTCTCTCTCTCTCTCTCTCTCTCTCTCTCACCACTCTCCCATGCACTTATTAATCAAATAGATAGAGATTGCAGGGTGTATAACGTGTATATCTCGCTGAATGTCAGTGAGCTATCCAATGCAACTTTCTGACGTCCCGGTGGATACTGAAAACAATGAAGACTGCTCTGTGTCGACCCTGCCTTGTGGGCGATGAGCCACTCCACGGCTTCCGGCCTGTATTGAAGGGTCTCAGGATGCTTGGAGGCAGGTGGCGAGTAAAGAAAGTAAATGCCATACAGCACAAGCCTGGAAGGCAAAATGCACCAAAGCCTACACTAGAAACATCTCTCCAAAGGTCTCAATGGCTTATAGGGAATATGAACTGAAAGCACCACGACGAATGCAAACGCACCTTCCGCAACGCGCAGCTTCGTGTAAGGGCGTAGTGCCGCTCACGCTGGCCTTCGGAGGGCAGTGTGTTCAAGGCTTCGGGCATCATAGCAGGGTTCAATGAATCTGAAAGAAGAAGGACCGCTTCCAGAAACTCGTGACAAGCGAGGGAAGGAAGCTCAGGCTCCACCAAATCAACATGCCAAAATTCTCGAAACAACTTGAACACACATCGACAAGGATCGTAGTCGTAGTGTGAGCCCAGTCGAATTGCGAATTGATACTTGGAGTGCATGATCCGAAATTTCAGTCCCCGATGTTCAGCAGTTTGGCTTGACCAGCTAAGTAGAGTGCTTCTGTGGACCTGGTCTTTACAGCACCGGGAGCCTGCAGCATTCCGGTGAAGCCCTCCTCCCACAGCTGCTCCATCACGTTGATATGGCCGCTCCTCGACGAGTTGCGCCCACCCTAAACCTCACATTCCCAAATATTTATCTTCCTGGGGCTGATTCCGGACAGCTGCCGTGCTGCCTCCTAAGACCTGGGCGCTTCTCCAAGCCGAGGTTCCTTCGCCAAAAAGCCCGCGGAGACTGGCCATTTCAATACGCTGTAGGATGTTAGATAGTATCTGATGTCAAGTGGGGACCCCAATCCATAGTTCAGGATCACATTTTACAGTATTCCGCGCGTCTAAAAACCACGGGAAGTCCTGGCGGCGGCGATTGCTGCGGAGGCTGCATGTGCCTCAAGCACCTCCCGGCCGCGAGCCTGGCTTCACCAGGATTCCCTGTTGAATAGAGCGATCATGTCATGGTCCTTCTTCTTTAAAGTTCTAATTCTATAACTTACAAATTTATATTAAGTATATACGCTATGATCGAAGGTAGTTTGGGGGTCTACGTGGGGTTTAGGAGTTGGCTTGGACCGTTGTTCGCTTTGGTTACAGCTATCGCACAGACATTATGGGAATTTGCAGCAGCAACCTGGTCCATCAGGAGCTTGAGGACGTGGAGTCTGCCGGTTCTCGCAGCGAGTACCACGAGTGGCTTGGTCACCGTCTGCGAAGCCATGAGTTGATGGAGCTGAGCTACCTTGGTCCAACAAGCGATTCAACTTGCAGTACGACAGATGATGGCCGAACCTTCCTCAGAGCTTGCAAAACCAAATGTCTCATCATGTGAAACACTCGAAAAAGCGATGGCGAACGGTGCTGTTAAACCAGGCTGGACACATCACCATCTGCGATGGCATGCATCTCAGGACTCCATTGCCCTGAGTCACCAGCCTCCCAGCCGGCTGCGACACTGACGTCGTCCAAATTCCAAGTGGCATGCCACCTCGATGTGGTAGGTTCCGGAAACTGGAGGGGAAAGGGATTATTGTTAGGCTTCTATGATAAAGGTCCCGTACTTTCTATTGCAGGGATCCTGCTTGCGAGGAGCCCCTCGTTTAAGTATGCCGGGTGACGCGTCTTCTCTCGCTCATCAGTTGGGACTTGTTCACTCGTTGCCAGCACTTCCACGTCTACTGACAGCGTCCATCGTCTACATCCACTACATTGCTCGAGAAGATCTCAACCAGTAAGGAACACCTAAACCCCAAAACCCTAGAACCTAACACCCTAAACCACAGAGTCGCTGCTACTGTGGACTCCAAGTTGAAGTCACAGACCTTGCAGGCCTCCGAGCGATCAAGAACACACGCAAATCCCAACGCCCGAGGATCTCCGAACCGGTCCGTGGATCCCGAGACCCTTGGAGGTCGCCTCTGCCTTGAAAGCCAGTCGCCGTTTGAGTAGCTTACAATGCATGTCACGTATTCCAGCATCCTCTACTTGGAGGTTCATGGGTAGCTATAACTAGGGTTATGAGTAAGATAACTATGGTTATCCCCGAAATTATGGGACTTCGAACCCCACTTATAATATAACTACCCATGAACCTCAACACTTCCATGTCGAGCCGCCATCCTGCAGGCACGAAGACCACCTCACCCGGCTGGGCCACGCAAATCACCTGAAACCCACGGAGGTGGAGGCTTTGATAGGAGAGTGTAGGGTCCAGGGTTTGAGATGATTTCGGGGTCTAGGGTTTAAGGTAATTTAGGGTAGCTCCAGAGTAAAGCCCTAAAACCCCATCCACGTCCTGCATGAACTTCAAACCTGAGTCGTAACGAACCGAAAAATGCCACAACCCTAAACCCTATCCCGAATCTTGAAAAACCTGCCTTTTAGGGTTCCTCATTATGAGTTCCTGACATCAGTCCTTACAAAGGTAGGTTATTCCGGGTTAAAGTATCCTGAATGCCTGAAGCCCAAGGCACCAGCCCTGGCGGACGGTGCAGCAGGTACTGCCATGGAGCTCTGGCCGGGGGCCGCTTCCCACCTGCCGCTTTCTTGGGGGATCCTGCTATGCCCTAAACCCTAAACCCTAAACCCATGGCCTTGGGGATGCTTTGGGTCGTTCCAATGCTTTGTCGAATTTCATCGTGGTTGCGGGTTTAGGGGTGATACGGTTGATGCTATAAATCCTGCATTACCTTGAGGACCCTAAACTATGGCAATTATAGTACATTCCTTAATACGGGTAGTGCAGGATTTATATTATCAACCGTACTGATAATAGTATCCTGCAGACAGCAAGGTATGACTTGAAGCTCTGCAGGCAGCCTGGCGCCGTATGAAGCTCGGTTTCAACACCAAACGGCCGCGTCTACGAAAGGGAAATGGTTCTATGCTTTAAACCCTATATAAACCTTATCAACCTTATAAACCCTAAACCCCTCTATCGTTTAAACCCTAAACCTTATAAACCTTATAGACCCTAACCCCTAAACTTTAGGGTTGAGGATGCGAGCCTGGGAGCAAGAGCCAAAGCTTGCGACCTAATAGCTGTGCCAGCCAGGCCGCGCTGTGCCTGCAACAGCTTCAGGGTTTATAGGGCTTCGGGACGTTCACTTCTTTGTAGGTGGTTTTGCAAGCTTTGCTATTGATTTACCTCCAGCAGTCGATGGAATTGCCAACTGTGCTGAGCCAGCTTGAAAGACATTCCAGCGCTGTGGCTTCAAATGCCCGGGTTTAAGGATGTCAGAACTTCGGTGAAGGTAAGGAACACAACTGAGGCCTGTGGAATCCGATGCCCGTGTCTTGGCGGCCGATGCTGAGGATAGGAGCGCCATGGACACTCGCCAGCAGTGGTGGCACATCGAAACCTCGTTGTATCCACATGCAACCTCCCGATTGGGTGACCAACTCGAAAAATCCGTATGCTCAACACCTTCAACACATGAGCGTGTGCTGCTTCCTGCCGTGTCCGGCTGAGCACGCTGAATGCTGCCCCAGAGCTTTCCAGAAGCTGGTGCCGGTTACTCTCGAAGTCGTTCTCGAAAACGACGGACCTGCTGCTCTGGGTGGCTTTAGTGATTCTTTTTGCCTGTCTCTGCAATACCGAAGGAGCTGATACGACAGCAGCATGTTTTCCGGAACAAACCCAAAATCTAAGACCGAGTGCTAAGCTGACTTGGTTCAACTTGGAGTTGCCCTAAGGGTCCATGTACCCAAATAGAATATACTTTGGGCCCAATGTACCCACATAGGGAGTACTTTAAGGCCAATGTATATACTATTTAGGTACATGGACCCTTAAACCCTAAACCCTTATAGATCCCTTATAGATCCCTTTAAAGGAACCCTTATGGTACCCTTAAAGGAGACCCCTATTTAGGCGGACCCTTAGGGTTGGTCTTTCCTGAAAATATCTGTCGGCCTGCCGCCAAACTCCGGAGACAAGTATTCCTCCAAGGAAACGTAGCACTCGGATGGTCCAGCGTATCCATATTGGTTGAGCGTCTCGCAAGGCCGCACTCGGAACTCCAAGTGCCCAAACTGTTCTACCTTGTTGGGGTTATCGAGCATCTGCAAGCTGGGCTGCTATGGTCAAAACTACAACGGTGAGGTCAGGAAAGACTCTACGACTCCGATGTGTCTTCCCTAACGCCCCAAGGTAGTTCCTTTTGGGGGTTCGTATATAGAATCCTACAAGGTAATCCCATCAGGAACTACCATGGGGCCGCTGGTCATGCCGAGGCCACCAGGAGGTCCCGTGTCCACGATCGCGCAGCCCAACCATCGACGAGCCCATACATCCGATGCGGGCGCATTTCGTCCAAGGACACCCTCCTAGTTCATGGTTGGGACAGGATTAAGAACTTAAAATGTTATTCTATATTGGGTTTACATAAGTACCCACAAAAATGTAAAAATGTTACCCAACTATGACAAAGACTCGCTGTGCAGTCCTCCAGCATGAGCCCCTGCTCCTCGACCGCGAAGCCCATGGTACTATGACACTTTCCATGCTGTTTGCATTGATCCGAAACTGGTTTGGCTCCTGCTTCCTTGGGGATGCCTCAACAACGCCGTCAGCCTAGAACTCTAAATGTTGCCCTTCCTTCGTTTGGGTCGCTGGGCACTTGTAATCGACTCTTGGCACCCATTCGAGATGATTGGATGTTTGGGCATGCCATGGAAAAAAGGGGCCTCAAAGCAGGTGCAACAGGTCATGAGTGATTGGGTATCTGGACTAAACTTCTACAATCCTCTGCAGCACGACCGTGAAGTCAGCAAAGCGAGAGCTGCCAATTTCTGCTAAACTAAACCATAAGTAAAGGGATTTAGCTTAAGTTACCATAACAAAAACCATATTGTTAACTATAGATCCCTACTATGGTAACTAGCTTATGGTAACTTAAAGTCTTTGACAAGAACCCAAGTACGGCTCCGTGTCAGCAACTTCGCGAAGCTTCTTGCTGGGATCGGACCAGTTGGAGGCCTCCAAAGCTGGGAGGAAGGCAGGTAGGATTAAGGATCCCCTGTATAAGGACTCTTATTTGGGGATTACCCCAGCTACCTTCATCCTGTAGGTAGGAGATATAAGGACTCTTATTTGGGGATTACCCCACCTACCTTCATCCTACCTTTTGAGGCCCCTGAGCCAGACCTCGTCTGCTTTCTTGCTTCGCGCATCGATCGCGGGCCAGCGCCGTGACTTCACGGCGAGGCGGCTGCCAAAGGCCTCGGGCACTCATGCACATGCGCAGGGGTGTAGGGTATACCAGGACCCCTTAATAGAGCCCTTAGGGTCCTTAATAGTGGGTATTCAGGGTATATTAGAGGGTAGTTGGGGGGTCTAGGTAGAGTTTAGGGGCTCAGCGGCTTAGGGTTTAGGGTTGCTTACAACAGGGGCATGATATCCCTGCAGACAAGTTATCGTGTCTGTCTATCGGCTATCGAAGTTCGAGGCTATGGACGTTCGACAGATAAAACACAACTGACGTCAAAAGAGCACCCGAGAGACGAAGACGGCTCCCGTGAGAGAACGCAAGCTGGCACAGTGGAACTGCGCAGGCAGGCGGCATTGGCAGTTGTGCCGCGGGCGTTCAGCGACCAGCACACTCACCGGAGGGTAACGGTACGGCAACATATTCTCCGTCTCAGCCGTTGTCGTCCTCATCCTCGTCGAGGTTGCCCTCCGTGATCAGGGGAATCACGAAGAAATCCACAAGCCCATCCAGGTGGTCGAAAATTTCAATGTCGCTCATCTTCATCTTGTGTTCGATCAAGAACAAGGAAACCAGGATAACGTCTTGTGCCGAAGAAACAGCTACGACAAGCACGGATGGCATGTTTGCAGAGGCGATCGGGAGGACAATGGTGAGCAGCCCTTGCCACGCGATCTATGCTTGCAGGGCTGCTGAGTGAAATCAGCAACAGAGTGTCGACAACAACACAACAGAAACAACACGGGAATAAAACAGTGGTCTATCAGTTATGCAGCAAGAAGTGCCTTCGCCGCCCACGGCTAACGATAAAAAACCCAGCATGAGAACCATGGTGAATTAAGGCTTGACGCTTGGAGTAAGAGGCGATTGAATTCAGGTTGTAAGGTTTAGGGGCGCTACTTGGAAGGGCAGGGGACTTAGCAAGTAGGTTATAAGTACCCTAAATGGACATGGAGTTACCCCAATTATAACCCTACTTATGAACGACTTACTATGTCCTCTGCCCTTCCAAGTATCAGGGGACGAGACTGGAAGTATCAGGGTTTCGGAGCCACTGGAGGCGGACTGTGAGCCTCGATGGTACCTAACTTTAACAGCAGTCTTCACGGGCTTTTAACCGAAGATTGTAAAACCCTAAACCCCACCTAGACCCCCCAACTACCCTCTAATATACCCTAAATAGCCACTACTATGACCATAAAAAGGACTTATTAAAGGGTACTTGGGGGGTCCTGGCAAACCCTGCGGAGTAAAGCTTTCAGGTTGGAGGGTTCTAGGCTAAGGAGGCTTAGGAGTCGCAAGGATGCATTGTGAGTGGTAAGGGTTTAGGGTTTAGGGTCTGGTATTCTAATATAGGGGCCTGAATAATATGGAAATTAAAATAAGGAACCCTCAAAATCTTACTTCTTCTTCTTCTGCGGACTTTGGGGCCCCGAAGGGCGCGTCCCATGCATCAAAATATTACTGGTAATTATTTAGGCCCCTCTATTAACGGTGTTCAGGTCCCTGATTCTTCCAGCGTGGTGCCCACAACGCCCCCTGACCCCTGAGCCACAAATCCTTCAAGAGCCGCTGGGCCTGATATCTCTAAGCCGGAGCGTACCAGCTATTTGGGAGTTTCTGAAAACTAGTGGGAGAAGGAAGGGAGATGTGCAAAATGACCAGGGCTCCATATGGGAGTTTCTGAAAACTAGTGACACCTTATTTTGGGGTCCTTGAATAAGGATCCTCCGTCCTATATTAGGGTCCCCTGTTTTCGGAAACTCCCATTTCCCTCCCGAGCCGTAGCAAGCCAAGCAAAGCCCTGCACGCACCCGAATCCTTTTTGCTTGTTTGGGGAAAATTTGTAGGACTTTAGTCCCGCAATAAAGGGGCCTTAATAAATAGAATAGGGTTTTGGGGCCCCATAATACTATTATCATAAGAAGGAACCCACAAAATAGTATAGGTAATTATTACAGTAAGGCCACTAAAGCACTCATTTCCGCTCGACGAATCAGCAGAAAATCGGCATGGATGTTGCTCACGCGGCATTCCACATCATGGCCAGGCCCCCTGACTAAGACCTAAGGCCAACTATGCGGTGAGGGTTTACTTGGAGGATAATTGAAGTTATAAGTAGTTATAAGTAGAGTTACCGTACTTATAACCGTAGTTACTATAAGTCCCATGATACTTTAGGTAGTGTTTAGGGTTTAGGGTTGGAGTTGCGGACTTCGTGTTGCAGTAGTTGTCATCATTGTAGTTGTAGTCGTATTGGTAGCTGTCGTCGCCGCAGTGAGAGCAACCGCAGCAGCAGAAGAAGCAACCGAGGAGGATCAGGAGCAGGCAGAGGAGGAGTTACGCCCAAAACACTCACACTAAATGAGCCTACACCACAACTACACACACGCTCACAACAGCTTCATTGACCACTGGAATCCCTAAACCCTATAAACCCTAAACCCCTAAACCCACAGTTCCTGAACTGAGGGGCAGCTGAGGCACGTCTTACCCGGTGGTGCCGATCCTGAGCGTGCCAGGCAAGCGCAGCGCACTTTTGGGAACCGTGATCTTCTTCCCGCCCGTGTCGGGCCCTCTGTAGGTCATCTTCAGCACCTTCCAGGATCTTCCAGCAGCTCACGGGTTGAAGCGCGGCTTCTTTTATCAAAAAGGGGGTTCGTGGGCCATTGCAAGTCAGGTTTGAAGGTTTGGGACCTATTGATCTTGGCCTGGCATGGTCCAGCACCTCACCATCTGAGAAACTGCTTCGAATCTGAAGCCCGCAGAAAGTTTCAACGCAAGGAAACCTGGGTTTCGAGGAGTGAGCCTTTCAGGTTCTAGGACCCTGAAAACTGTGGGATTGCAGAGACGAAGTCAGCGAGCCTCGCCCCCTGACATCTCGCACATGTCCACCTTCAGAGGGTAGACGCCAGACCTAAGGTTATAGCTGGCGCTTCGATGCTCCTGCGCGGCATGACAGCCGTTGTTGTCCACGATCTTCTGTCGGGCCAGCCAAAGGACCGAACCTCTCGAAACATTGATCTCGGACATGCATTCTTTGCATCTGATTGCACGAGTAGATCCGAAATGGTCTTTGACACTGCCCTTGCACACAACACCGCTCAACACATTAAAATCCGTAACTTTAAACTCTCAAGAAGCTCTGCCTGCTTCCCCTTGTTGCTGCACGAGGCACCGTCGTCAGAAGTAAGTTGGAAACGATACTTTCCAGGCTTCTTGATGACGAGCTGGCCCCTGAACCTGCAAGGTAAGACAGCCTACAATCCGACATGTTGCGAAAAAATCAGATCGATTGCAACTCTGAAGCACCTGGCCTCAAACAAACGTCAAATGGAAAGCACTATAACAAAGCCACGAAGAATCCTATAGTCCTAAGCTGTGGTTCCGTGGGACGATCGCTACTACTACCAGACGGTATCAAGTCTCTGCTGGATTGTTTTGCTTGCTTTCGCCCTGACTCAACACCTCCTTTATTCCGCCAGTTTCTTCCTGACGCGTCTTTTCCTGCTGCATTGCTTTCGCAGATATATCTTGCCGCCTCTGTCTCCAGAAGCTAAGGACAAGAGCAGCGTAGATGCTAACTGCGCTAATTTTCGTGTTATCTGCGCCTCATGTTTTGTTGTCTGCACTTTTGTGTTCTGTTATCTGCGTCTTTTATTTGCTCCCGTGTACAATGTTCCTCTATGCTCCTGCTTTTCCAAATCAATTGCGGGCCTTTTATCACAACTCCTGCTAGTTTAAGGTTTGCCATGAGCCTCTCCTATTCGCAATAGGGTTTAGGGCTTTTCAACATGCAACTCCTTTCAGGTAACTATGCAATATACATATATATATATATATATATATATATCTACACACACATGAGGTTTTTCAACACCCAACTCCTAAGGCCTCAGCGTTTAGGGTTTTTGATCATCCTACTAACTCCTTTTTCTGCTGCTCCATTATTTTCTGCTTGCAACGCTCTGAAGCCTGCCGCTGAGTCCTGCTAGGGGGAATCACGAGGGGAATCCATTCTCTAAATTGCGGACCTGCATCCTGAATGTTGCACATTGACCTGCACATGTCCCTCTGTTCTTCGAGTTGCTAGCTCTGTTGTCATAATTCTGATGGCTGAAACGTTCCGGCTCAATCGATGCCATCACTCTCCATTGAGGCTTCTGGTTTGGGCTCGGCAAGGCCTTGTGCACCGAAACTCCAAAAGACCCAACACCTATCTCTTGGACTGAAGATGCAAAAACCCTGCCCGGCCTCATGCAGAAATTGTTTTGTTGCTTAACGTTTGGGAAGTTGCCTTGCTCCTAGCAGCAAAAGCCAGGGTTTGTGAGCTATTGGTTTCGGTTTTCGGCGAGTGTTGCAAGAGTTGGAACAGGGGTCTGTTCGCGATCTAGGAGATCATGATAAGGGAAATGCGTAGAGCCATGCATCAGGGGAACGACGAACGCGGGATGTGTACGAAGGTCCGGCGGTCAAACTGTTGGTGACAAGGCAGACATAAGCCGTATAAGAGTACCCCGGAACCCGGGAATCACAAGCCTTAGCCCCCGTAGCCCTTGGCACTAGAAGATTTAGAAGTCTTGCATCAAAGATGATTGGGAAAGGAATGGCGCCACGAAGAGATTCGAACTTAAAACCCGTTGGCAGGTTGTGTGAACACGGAGCAGCTTCATAGATGAGATGGGGTGTTTCTTCACGAACTTCCTACCCCGATTGACAACCCTTCTCGCCCACTCACAGCCCTCAAGGCCACGAAACTCTGCCAAACACGGAACACCCCCAAACTCTGAACCGTGAGCACAAAAAGATCCAGGCAATAGTAAATTGTGGCAACTACAGCCACGGCTCTTTCAAGTCCACCTGCGAATGCAGTTCTCAAGCCCGGGCCAAAAAACGAGGACCCCAAATCGAAAACCTAACAAACCGAAAGTTTTCTGAAGCTGCATACGAGAACCCACAATCGAAATCAACGCAGCTTCACGCCGAGCTGGACCCTAAGCCCAAGCAGAAATGGTGAAACCTCACACTCCAAGTCTAGACTTGCTACCAGTATCCCAGAGCTTCAGAGCTTCCTAATCCAAGCGCCCGAATCCCGTGAAAAGTGCTGGAATTCGGATTGAGAGTCAAAGTCAATATTTGCCACCGTCCCTGTGTGAGCTGGTTTCCTAGGCAGGCTGCGGCGTTGTAGAGTCAGAGCTTCTGGTTTTGATTTCGGCTTTGCCCTAAACCCTAAGCCTCAAGACTTGGGCCATTGATGAGGCTCATGTGAGGATACGTCTCCTGAATACGGAAGGCATGACAGCTGGGTCGCTTGGCGTCTAGAATTGAATTCTTAAGCCTTGGGTTTGGGTCCTAGGTTGGGGCTCCGATGCGTAACCCCCCAGACCTCAAGCGCGAACCTCTCCAATCCTGGACTCAACCTGCCGCTATCCATCTGCGGATTTCTTAATTAAACCAGAAGACCCTTATCCCTTCTAACTACCAAAAAAGCTCAGGGATCCTCTGTAGAACGGAACCCTTATCCAACCCAAAGCCCTTCTTGGGATTGATGTGGGGGAAGGGAACTCTTGAAGTCTTACTGAAAGGCAAAGAAGAGCCCTTGGCCAGACTAGCGGTGCAGTTTCATGGCATGAGCCCCTCTGGCTTCAGAGTACAGGTGAGGAACTGCTGGCTGAGGTCGTCGATAATGCACTTCGCGTTGTTGTAGTAGTAGTGCGTGCTCAAACCCCAGTCGCCTCGATCCTCCTCCTTGCGCACGGGGGCTGGATCCCAAAAGTTGCGAAACCCTAAACCCCTGAATCCTGATACCCTTAACTGAAAGGAGCACACTGATTCAGCTCGCAAAAACCCGTCAACAGTTAGAAGTTTCACCTTGTTGCGTCTCCTACGTCTGGACATTTCATTCTCATGGACTGAATCAGGATCTACCTGTAGTCTCCATTGTAGTTCCTTTTCGGCATTAAGCACTTTTATATGTAGGATCCTATAAGGTATAACCCCCAAACAAGGCACTACAATGGAGACTATGGGTAGCACTGGGTTTCCCTGGAAGGGACCTTGCAGCAGATAGCAGCTGCACCCGTGATCTCCGAAACCCCAGCCCTGATGCTCTGCTGGGCAGGTGTGCTTGAAGGATCATGGGACTTAGTAGCTAGGGTTCAAATTAGGGTAACTCTACTTATAACTATTTGTAACCCCAATTAAGGTACTTTTAACCTTAGTGACTAGGTCCCATGATCCTCCAAGTGGGTCTGTACACCTTCAGAACCTCCAACTCCAGAGGTCAATCATTCACGTGGCTCTCATCCCGTATCTGGCAGTGCTTGCGAGATGACAGGCCATAGTGTACCGGTCGTTGAAGTTTACACATACCCCAGATGATAGGGGCCCAGCGTTTTCCCTCAGCAACCAGAACAAATAGCCATATGAGCGACGGCCTGCAATCCATTGGTCCATCAGGGCGCAATCGCTGTAACGTAAGATTTGTTCCCTGATCTCATTCGCCTTGATACACGTCTTCGAGGCTGTTTTCACCCTCAAGCTTCGGCCACACAATTTTCGATTCACCACCGAGTCCACAGAAAAAGTTGCATGGTGACCTCGCTCGATGCTTGTACCCCATCTTCTCCCGCCCAAGGAAACCTCTTCTGCAAAAGGCTTCTGCTGCCAAAAAATAGCATATGATCACGTGACAGCATACTGGTAAGACAAAGTGCCGGTAAATGACTCTCCAACCACCCATGGCCCATGGCCCATGTTCCAACACCATGGAGGATGATGGGACTATCACATACGGAACACTCCCCCCCTTCCCCAACTGTTCACACGACATGCAGTGTCCAAAACCTTGCGCGACCCTGAACTATGAGCACGAAGCCAGAAGCCACTGGACAACAAAAGCAAGCAAGTGTTCATGTCGTGGGCCTGCATGTCTCTTGATGAGCTGTCCTGTCGGATGCACGACAGGCTTTATGCAGAGGTTTCTTGTTCTTCGGCCTTGCAGACTAGCTGCGAGCCTGGGAGAGGTATGAGGATTGCACTACGGTCGGGCGCCTTCTGGGGATACCTTACACTACTTATAAGGACGTATGCTAGAGGAACCCATGACACATGAGGGTTTTGGGGATATGGTCGCGAAATGGGCATTGTTTGAGCATCCTATACAAAGGGCTGAGACTACGCAGAAATCTGGCAGCGGCGGCCCCATCATGCTTAACCTTGAGTCCGCACCACTCCCTCAACCTCGCCACAGCACGCGGTTGATTGACAGCTTAATTTGTAGCTGGAAGCCTTCAAGGCCAATCTATCGTCTTAGACGTTAGGTCTTGTGAGTCATGGCGCCTGTCGCTTTGCAAACCTTCAAGTGTACCAGCATGGAGCGCGAATGGAAGCACAAGCCCAGTTCTTGCGGCGAGTGGCGGCATAGGTGTGGCATGTGTGACCCGACTGGGATCATTGATCGAGCAATGACTAGCATACACATTCTTGAAAAGCCACAAGCAGAACATTGCGGGGGGGAATTAGGAAATACAGTTGAGACTGTGTGAGGCTAATAAATAATGTCCTTCGTCACCAGGGCTGCCGCAGACCACGCCCACAAAAGCAATGCAAAGCGCGACATGCCGGGCAGAAATCTGCGTTGCTACGTTGAGCTGCGTTGATTCGAATCCTCGAGCCAAGAGTGCTGCGCGCCAAGGGCAAGTGATGGCTGCAACTCGCCACCAAGCAACACAACCAGTCTGTCTGGTCTGCCTGTGCCGTGTTAAAGTTGAAGGAACAGCGGCGTCTGCCACCATGCATATGTTTTGTCTTCGCTGCACGCTCGCAAAGCTGCGCGAAGAAATCGCGGATGCCTGGACCGACCGTATTCTGGGCAGAATAAGTGTGTGGGACGAAACGGCATTCCCAGCCCTCTAAGTGCAGCCCAATGCAGTTTTCGCAATCATGAACTGTCTTCAACGCCAAGCCCTTCAAAGCAACATCCCCTCAAGCCATCCAGCCAGCAGTCAGACGAGGGTTCACGTAAGTTACAGCCAGAAGCGCACCGCGGTCTTGCTTGCAGGATACATCGGCACTCTTTCAAAGCAAATTCGCCTCGATGGCCTCCAGTGCTTTTCGCGCAGAACCTCCAGGGTTGCTCTGCGTTCGCTGTGGAAGCTGCGGAGAAAGCACATATATGCAACAACCAAAGACTTCTCATAGCCCAAGGCAACGCAACGATCACCGAGTAAACCCAAAATGCCATCGTTTTGGATGCCAGGCCTTCAGCTCTTGGCATGACTTCCACGCAGCTGGCGCTCGGCTTCGCACTCCGCGTCTTTCAGGATCTGGCCGCCCAGGTGAGAGAGGTCAGGTGATAGGCTTTGGTTCCATGTGCTGTAGGGCAGTACTGGTTGAATTGATATAGTGGAATGATCATGCCAAATATTCAGGCTTCTACATCCCGGCTCATCCGACATGTCCAGATGTTCCTGCGTCTGTAGCCCTGAACTGCTTTGCCAACGCAATGCTACCTTGCAAGAATATATGCTAAATCATTCTCAACTCTAATGTAGCCCGACCCTTGAAAGCCTTCATATTACCCATATTCTCCATCGTAGTTCCTTTTGTTGGTTATAAACCAAAAACTATATTGCAGAATCCTAACCATCAAACTGGTTAATTAACCAAAAAAAGGAACTACAATGGAGACTTTTGGTAGATTATGTTACTGCATGCATAACCCTGCAACGCGGCGCTCTCGGGTCCTCGGCAGCTTGCTGTACACCGATCCTTACAGGCCTGCCAGGTGAATGCATCGATGCATTCACAAGTTTGGGGCCTAAGACTAATTAGAATAAGGTTTTGGGGACGAGAGCTATATCATAGCGCAGTTACAGTTACATTAAAGGCCGCCGATGCATGTTGCTGCGAGGGGAAGTGGAAGTCTCGTTTCAGGTATCGCTGCCCTTCCTGCATCTTTCTTTCCCCCCAGGAGCCGTGCAACGAGCCGTAAAACTCTAAACCCTAGAAGCCGTACAAACCCCCATAGACCCCTGTAAACTTACCTTTGGCTAGTAGGGAATGGAAGAATGGTAGTAGTTTGTTGTCATAATTGTACCACATTCCTCCATTCCCTACTGAGCAAAGGTAAGGTAAACCCGAAAACGCATGAGCGAGAGTGGAGCCTCAGCTTTGCCCAATACCAGCGACCGTAGTCGACGAAGAGCTCCTTCTCAGCAGACTCTTTAAGGGCTTCAGGGTTTTGGGGTCTATAGGCTCAGTAAGGACAAACAGGGTTTTTGAGGTGTTGCAAGATTTTCTTGTCTACCGGCTATCGGATCGGAAGTTCTCTGAATGATGGTCTTTCCTCCATTTCCTACTAACCAAAAGTAATTTAAGGCCCCTGAGCCAGACGGCCTCTGCTTTCTTTCTTGCTTCGCGCATCGATCCCGGGCCAGCGACATGACTTCACGGCGCGGCGGCTGCCAAAGGCCTCGGGCACTCATGCACATGCGCAGGGGTGTAGGGTATACCAGGACCCTTTACTGGAGCCCTTAGGGTCCTTAATAGTGGGTATGTCGGGTTTTTTTAGAGGATAGTTGGGGGGTCTAGGTAGAGTTTAGGGGCTCAGCGGTTTAGGGTTTAGGGTTGCTTACAACAGGGGCATGATATCCCTGCAGACAGGTTATCGTGTCTGTCTATCGGCTATCGAAGTTCGAGGCTATGGACGTTCGACAGATAAAACACAACTGACGTTAAAAGAGCACCCGAGAGACGAAAATAGCTCCCGTGAGAGAACGCAAGCTGGCACAGTGGAACTGCGCAGGCAGGCGGCATTGGCAGTTGTGCCGCGGGCGTTCAGCGACCAGCACACTCACCGGAGGGTAACGGTACGGCAACATGTTCTCCGTCTCAGCCGTTGTCGTCCTCATCCTCGTCGAGGTTGCCCTCCGCGATCAGGGGAATCACGAAGAAATCCACAAGCCCATCCAGGTGGTCGAAAATTTCAATGTCGCTCATCTTCATCTTGTGCTCGATCAAGAACAAGGAGACCAGGCTAGAAGTTCCGTCTTGTGCCGAAGAAACGGCTACTCGACAAGCACGGCGATCGGGAATACAATAGTGAGCAGCCCTTGCTACGCGATCTATGCTTGCACTGCTGCTGAGTGAAATCAGCAACAGAGTGTGATCAACAACACAACAGAAACAACACGGGAATAAAACAATGGTCTATCAGTCATGCAGCAAGAAGTGCCTTTGCCGCCCACGGCAAACGATTAAAAACCAGCATGACAACCATGGTGAATCAAGGTTTGACGGTTGGAGGAAGAGGCGATTGAATTCAGGTTGTAAGGTTTATGGGCGCTATCAGGGGACGAGACTGGCAGTATCAGGGTTTCGGAGCCACTGGAGGCGGACTGTGAGCCTCGTTGGTACCTAACTTTAACAGCAGTCTTCACGGGCATTGAACAGAAGATTGTAAAACCCTAAACCCCACCTAGACCCCCCAACTACCCTCTAATATACCCTAAATAGCCACTACTATGACCATAAAAAGGACTTATTAAAGGGTACTTGGGGGGTCCTGGTAAACCCTGCGGAGTAAAGCTTTCAGGTTGGAGGGTTCTAGGCTAAGGAGGCTTGGGAGTCGCAAGGATGCATTGTGAGTGGTAAGGGTTTAGGGTTTAGGGTCTGGTATTCTAATATAGGGGCCTGAATAATATGGAAATTAAAATAATGACAGTTTCCATGCTGTTTGCATTGATCCGAAACTGTTTTGGCTCCTGCTTCCTTGGGGATGCCTCAACAACGCCGTCAGTCTACTAGAACTCTGAATGTTGCCCTTCCTTCGTTTGGGTCGCTGGGCACTTGAAATCGACTCTTGGCACCCATTCGAGATGATTGGATGTTTGGCGCATGCCATGGAAAAAAGGGGCCTCAAAGCAGGTGCAACAGGTCATGAGTGACTGGGTATCTGGACTATACTTCTACAATCCTCTGCAGCGCGACCGTGAAGTCAGCAAAGCGAGAGCTGCCAATTTCTGCTAAACTAAACCATAAGTAAAGGGATTTAGCTTAAGTTACCATAACAAGAAAAACATATTGTGAAATATAGATCCCTACTATGGTAACTAGCTTATGGTAACTTAAAGTCTTTGACAAGAACCCAAGTACGGCTCCGTGTCAGCAACTTCGCGAAGCTTCTTGCTGGGATCGGACCAGTTGGAGGCCTCCAAAGCTGGGAGGAAGGCAGGTAGGATTAAGGATCCCCTGTATAAGGACTCTTATTTGGGGATTACCCCAGCTACCTTCATCCTGTAGGTACGAGATATAAGGACTCTTATTTTTGGATTACCCCCACCTACCTTCATCCTACCTTTTGAGGCCCCTGAGCCAGACCTCGTCTGCTTTCTTGCTTCGCGCATCGATCGCGGGCCAGCGCCGTGACTTCACGGCGAGGCGGCTGCCAAAGGCCTCGGGCACTCATGCACATGCGCAGGGGTGTAGGGTATACCAGGACCCTTTAATAGAGCCCTTAGGGTCCTTAATAGTGGGTATTCAGGGTATATTAGAGGGTAGTTGGGGGGTCTAGGTAGAGTTTAGGGGCTCAGCGGTTTAGGGTTTAGGGTTGCTTACAACAGGGGCATGATATCCCTGCAGACAGGTTATCGTGTCTGTCTATCGGCTATCGAAGTTCGAGGCTATGGACGTTCGACAGATAAAACACAACTGACGTTAAAAGAGCACCCGAGAGACGAAAATAGCTCCCTTGAGAGAACGCAAGCTGGCACAGTGGAACTGCGCAGGCAGGCGGCATTGGCAGTTGTGCCGCGGGCGTTCGGCGACCAACACACTCACCGGAGGGTAACGGTACGGCAACATATTCTCCGTCTCAGCCGTTGTCGTCCTCATCCTCGTCGAGGTTGCCCTCCGTGATCAGAGGAACCACGAAGAAATCCACAAGCCCATCCAGGTGGTCGAAAATTTCAATGTCGCTCATCTTCATCTTGTGCTCGATCAAGAACAAGGAAACCAGGATAACGTCTTGTGCCGAAGAAACAGCTACGACAAGCACGGATGGCATGTTTGCAGAGGCGATCGGGAGGACAATAGTGAGCAGCCCTTGCCACGCGATCTATGCTTGCAGGGCTGCTGAGTGAAATCAGCAACAGAGTGTGGACAACAACACAACAGAAACAACACGGGAATTAAACAGTGGTCTATCAGTTATGCAGCAAGAAGTGCCTTCGCCGCCCACGGCTAACGATTAAAAACCCAGCATGAGAACCATGGTGAATTAAGGCTTGACGCTTGGAGTAAGAGGCGATTGAATTCAGGTTGTAAGGTTTAGGGCCCTACTTGGAAGGGCAGGGGACTTAGTAAGTAGGTTATAAGTACCCTAAAAGGAGTTACCCCAATTATAACCCTACTTATGAACGACTTACTAAGTCCCCTGCCCTTCCAAGTATCAGGGGACGAGACTGGAAGTATCAGGGTTTCGGAGCCACTGGAGGCGGACGGTGAGCCTCGATGGTACCTAACTTTAACAGTCTTCACGGGCTTTTAACCGAAGATTGTAAAACCCTAAACCCCACCTAGACCCCCCAACTACCCTCTAATATACCCTAAATAGCCACTACTATGACCATAAAAAGGACTTATTAAAGGGTACTTGGGGGGTCCTGGTAAACCCTGCGGAGTAAAGCTTTCAGGTTGGAGGGTTCTAGGCTAAGGAGGCTTAGGAGTCGCAAGGATGCATTGTGAGTGGTAAGGGTTTAGGGTTTAGGGTCTGGTATTCTAATATAGGGGCCTGAATAATATGGAAATTAAAATAAGGAACCCTCAAAATCTTACTTCTTCTTCTTCTGCGGACTTTGGGGCCCCGAAGGGCGCGTCCCATGCATCAAAATATTACTGGTAATTATTTAGGCCCCTCTATTAACGGTGTTCAGGTCCCTGATTCTTCCAGCGTGGTGCCCACAACGCCCCCTGACCCCTGAGCCACAAATCCTTCAAGAGCCGCTGGGCCTGATATCTCTAAGCCGGAGCGTACCAGCTATTTGGGAGTTTCTGAAAACTAGTGGGAGAAGGAAGGGAGATGTGCAAAATGACCAGGGCTCCATATGGGAGTTTCTGAAAACTAGTGACACCTTATTTTGGGGTCCTTGAATAAGGATCCTCCGTCCTATATTAGGGTCCCCTGTTTTCGGAAACTCCCATTTCCCTCCCGAGCCGTAGCAAGCCAAGCAAAGCCCTGCACGCACCCGAATCCTTTTTGCTTGTTTGGGGAAAATTTGTAGGACTTTAGTCCCGCAATAAAGGGGCCTTAATAAATAGAATAGGGTTTTGGGGCCCCATAATACTATTATCATAAGAAGGAACCCACAAAATAGTATAGGTAATTATTACAGTAAGGCCACTAAAGCACTCATTTCCGCTCGACGAATCAGCAGAAAATCGGCATGGATGTTGCTCACGCGGCATTCCACATCATGGCCAGGCCCCCTGAGTAAGACCTAAGGCCAACTATGCGGTGAGGGTTTACTTGGAGGATAATTGAAGTTATAAGTAGTTATAAGTAGAGTTACCGTACTTATAACCGTAGTTACTATAAGTCCCATGATACTTTAGGTAGTGTTCAGGGTTTAGGGTTGGAGTTGCGGACTTCGTGTTGCAGTAGTTGTCATCATTGTAGTTGTAGTCGTATTGGTAGCTGTCGTCGCCGCAGTGAGAGCAACCGCAGCAGCAGAAGAAGCAACCCAGGAGGATCAGGAGCAGGCAGAGGAGGAGTTACGCCCAAAACACTCACACTAAATGAGCCTACACCGCAACTACACACACGCTCACAACAGCTTCATTGACCACTGGAATCCCTAAACCCTATAAACCCTAAACCCCTAAACCCACAGTTCCTGAACTGAGGGGCAGCTGAGGCACGTCTTACCCGGTGGTGCCGATCCTGAGCGTGCCAGGCAAGCGCAGCGCACTTTTGGGAACCGTGATCTTCTTCCCGCCCGTGTCGGGCCCTCTGTAGGTCATCTTCAGCACCTTCCAGGATCTTCCAGCAGCTCACGGGTTGAAGCGCGGCTTCTTTTATCAAAAAGGGGGTTCGTGGGCCATTGCAAGTCAGGCTTGAAGGTTTGGGACCTATTGATCTTGGCCTGGCATGGTCCAGCACCTCACCATCTGAGAAACTGCTTCGAATCTGAAGCCCGCAGAAAGTTTCAACGCAAGGAAACCTGGGTTTCGAGGAGTGAGCCTTTCAGGTTCTAGGACCCTGAAAACTGTGGGATTGCAGAGACGAAGTCAGCGAGCCTCGCCCCCTGACATCTCGCACATGTCCACCTTCAGAGGGTAGACGCCAGACCTAAGGTTATAGCTGGCGCTTCGATGCTCCTGCGCGGCATGACAGCCGTTGTTGTCCACGATCTTCTGTCGGGCCAGCCAAAGGACCGAACCTCTCGAAACATTGATCTCGGACATGCATTCTTTGCATCTGATTGCACGAGTAGATCCGAAATGGTCTTTGACACTGCCCTTGCACACAACACCGCTCAACACATTAAAATCCGTAACTTTAAACCCTCAAGAAGCTCTGCCTGCTTCCCCTTGTTGCTGCACGAGGCACCGTCGTCAGAAGTAAGTTGGAAACGATACTTTCCAGGCTTCTTGATGACGAGCTGGCCCCTGAACCTGCAAGGTAAGACAGCCTACAATCCGACATGTTGCGAACAAATCAGATCGATTGCAACTCTGAAGCCCCTGGCCTCAAACAAACGTCAAATGGAAAGCACTATAGCAAAGCCACGAAGAATCCTAGTCCTAACCTGTGGTTGCGTGGGACGATCGCTACTACTACTAGACGGTATCAAGTCTCTGCTGGATTGTTTTGCTTGCTTTCGCCCTGACTCAACACCTCCTTTATTCCGCCAGTTTCTTCCTGACGCGTCTTTTCCTGCTGCATTGCTTTCGCAGATATATCTTGCCGCCTCTGTCTCCAGAAGCTAAGGACAAGAGCAGCGTAGATGCTAACTGCGCTAATTTTCGTGTTATCTGCGCCTCATGTTTTGTTGTCTGCACTTTTGTGTTCTGTTATCTGCGTCTTTTATTTGCTCCCGTGTACAACAATGTTCCTCTATGCTCCTGCTTTTCCAAATCAATTGCGGGCCTTTTATCACAACTCCTGCTAGTTTAAGGTTTGCCATGAGCCTCTCCTATTCGCAATAGGGTTTAGGGCTTTTCAACATGCAACTCCTTTCAGGTAACTATGCAATATACATATATATATATATACACACACATGAGGTTTTTCAACAGCCAACTCCTAAGGCCTCAGCGTTTAGGGTTTTTGATCACCCTACTAACTCCTTTTTCTGCTGCTCCATTATTTTCTGCTTGCAACGCCCTGAAGCCTGCCGCTGAGTCCTGCTAGGGGGAATCACGAGGGGAATCCATTCTCTAAATTGCGGACCTGCATCCTGAATGTTGCACATTGACCTGCACATGTCCCTCTGTTCTTCGAGTTGCTAGCTCTGTTGTCATAATTCTGATGGCTGAAACGTTCCGGCTCAATCGATGCCATCACTCTCCATTGAGGCTTCTGGTTTGGGCTCGGCAAGGCCTTGTGCACCGAAACTCCAAAAGACCCAACACCTATCTCTTGGACTGAAGATGCAAAAACCCTGCCCGGCCTCATGCAGAAATTGTTTTGTTGCTTAACGTTTGGGAAGTTGCCTTGCTCCTAGCAGCAAAAGCCAGGGTTTGTGAGCTATTGGTTTCGGTTTTCGGCGAGTGTTGCAAGAGTTGGAACAGGGGTCTGTTCGCGATCTAGGAGATCATGATAAGGGAAATGCGTAGAACCATGCATCAGGGGAACGACGAACGCGGGATGTGTACGAAGGTCCGGCGGTCAAACTGTTGGTGACAAGACAGACATAAGCCGTATAAGAGTACCCCGGAACCCGGGAATCACAAGCCTTAGCCCCCGTAGCCCTTGGCACTAGAAGCTTCAGAAGTCTTGCATCAAAGATGATTGGGAAAGGAATGGCGCCACGAAGAGATTCGAACTTAAAACCCGTTGGCAGGTTGTGTGAACACGGAGCAGCTTCATAGATGAGATGGGGTGTTTCTTCACGAACTTCCTACCCCGATTGACAACCCTTCTCGCCCACTCACAGCCCTCAAGGCCACGAAACTCTGCCAAACACGGAACACCCCCAAACTCTGAACCGTGAGCACAAAAAGATCCAGGCAATAGTAAATTGTGGCAACTACAGCCACGGCTCTTTCAAGTCCACCTGCGAATGCAGTTCTCAAGCCCGGGCCAAAAAACGAGGACCCCAAATCGAAAACCTAACAAACCGAAAGTTTTCTGACGCTGCATACGAGAACCCACAATCGAAATCAACGCAGCTTCACGCCGAGCTGGACCCTAAGCCCAAGCAGAAATGGTGAAACCTCACACTCCAAGTCTAGACTTGCTACCAGTATCCCAGAGCTTCAGAGCTTCCTAATCCAAGCGCCCGAATCCCGTGAAAAGTGCTGGAATTCGGATTGAGAGTCAAAGTCAATATTTGCCACCGTCCCTGTGTGAGCTGGTTTCCTAGGCAGGCTGCGGCGTTGTAGAGTCAGAGCTTCTGGTTTTGATTTCGGCTTTGCCCTAAACCCTAAGCCTCAAGACTTGGGCCATTGATGAGGCTCATGTGAGGATACGTCTCCTGAATACGGAAGGCATGACAGCTGGGTCGCTTGGCGTCTAGAATTGAATTCTTAAGCCTTGGGTTTGGGTCCTAGGTTGGGGCTCCGATGCGTAACCCCCCAGACCTCAAGCGCGAACCTCTCCAATCCTGGACTCAACCTGCCGCTATCCATCTGCGGATTTCTTAATTAAACCAGAAGACCCTTATCCCTTCTAACTACCAAAAAAGCTCAGGGATCCTCTGTAGAACGGAACCCTTATCCAACCCAAAGCCCTTCTTGGGATTGATGTGTGGGAAGGGAACTCTTGAAGTCTTACTGAAAGGCAAAGAAGAGCCCTTGGCCAGACTAGCGGTGCAGTTTCATGGCATGAGCCCCTCTGGCTTCAGAGTACAGGTGAGGAACTGCTGGCTGAGGTCGTCGATAATGCACTTCGCGTTGTTGTAGTAGTAGTGCGTGCTCAAACCCCAGTCGCCTCGATCCTCCTCCTTGCGCACGGGGGCTGGATCCCAAAAGTTGCGAAACCCTAAACCCCTGAATCCTGATACCCTTAACTGAAAGGAGCACACTGATTCAGCTCGCAAAAACCCGTCAACAGTTAGAAGTTTCACCTTGTTGCGTCTCCTACGTCTGGACATTTCATTCTCATGGACTGAATCAGGATCTACCTGTAGTCTCCATTGTAGTTCCTTTTCGGCATTAAGCACTTTTATATGTAGGATCCTATAAGGTATAACCCCCAAAAAAGGCACTACAATGGAGACTATGGGTAGCACTGGGTTTCCCTGGAAGGGACCTTGCAGCAGATAGCAGCTGCACCCGTGATCTCCGAAACCCCAGCCCTGATGCTCTGCTGGGCAGGTGTGCTTGAAGGATCATGGGACTTAGTAGCTAGGGTTCAAATTAGGGTAACTCTACTTATAACTATTTGTAACCCCAATTAAGGTACTTATAACCTTACTGACTAGGTCCCATGATCCTCCAAGTGGGTCTGTACACCTTCAGAACCTCCAACTCCAGAGGTCAATCATTCACGTGGCTCTCATCCCGTATCTGGCAGTGCTTGCGAGATGACAGGCCACAGTATACCGGTCGTTGAAGTTTACACATACCCCAGATGATAGGGGCCCAGCGTTTTCCCTCAGCAACCAGAACAAATAGCCATATGAGCGACGGCCTGCAATCCATCAGGGCGCAATCGCTGTAACGTAAGATTTGTTCCCTGATCTCATTCGCCTTGATACACATCTTCGGGGCTGTTTTCACCCTCAAGCTTCGGCCACGCAATTTTCGATTCGCCACCGAGTCCACAGAAAAAGTTGCATGGTGACCTCGCTCGATGCTTGTACCCCATCTTCTCCCGCCCAAGGAAACCTCTTCTGCAAAAGGCTTCTGCTGCCAAAAAAAACATATGATCACGTGACAGCATACTGGTAAGACAAAGTGCCGGTAAATGACTCTCCAACCACCCATGGCCCATGGCCCATGTTCCAACACCATGGAGGATGATGGGACTAACACATACGGAACACTCCCCCCCTTCCCCAACTGTTCACAGGACATGCAGTGTCCAAAACCTTGCGCGACCCTGAACTATGAGCACGAAGCCAGACCCTAGGGATCAAAATAGCTCAAATGCCTTATATAGTATGGTCTTTGGGCCCAAAAGCATTAATATATGAGTCCTTAGACCCCTAGGGAGAAGCCACTGGACAACAAAAGCAAGCAAGTATTCATGGCACGGGCCTGCATGTCTCTTGATGAGCTGTCCTGTCGGATGCACGACAGGCTTCATGCAGAGGTTTCTTGTTCTTCAGCCTTGCAGACTAGCTCTGAGCCTGGGAGAGGTATGAGGATTGCACTACGGTCGGGCGCCTTCTGGGGATACCTTACACTACTTATAAGGACGGTATGCTAGAGGAACCTATGACACATGAGGGTTTTGGGGATATGGTCGCGAAATGGGCTCTGTTTGAGCATCCTATACAAGAGCCTGAGATTACGCAGAAATCTGGCAGCATCGGCCCCATCATGCTTAACATTGGCCTTAAAGTAGTCCCTATATGGGTCCCAAGGTATATACTATTTGGGTACATGGACCCTTAGGGTTGTGTCCGTAACACTGCCTCAAACTCGCCACCGCACGTTATTGATTGACAGCTTAATTTGCAGTTGGAAGCCTTCAAGGCCAATCTATCGTCTTAAACGCTAGGTCTTGTAAGTCATGGCGCCTGTCGCTTTGTAAACCTTCAAGTGTACCAGCATGGAGCGCGAATTGAAGCACAAGCACAGTTCTTGCGGCGAGTGGCGGCATAGGTGGGCATGTGTGACCCCACTGGGATCAATGATCGTGCAATGATTAGCACATGGGTGGTTGTCAAAATTATAGTCCCTTTTTGGGGTCCTTCATAGAATACAGCACCTGATATTTAGGGTACCCCAAAAGGGATCCTAATTTTGACAACTACCCGTATTGTCGAAAAGCCACAAGCAGAACATTGCGGGGTGGAATTACGAAATGCAGTTGAGACTGTGTGAGGTTAATAAATAATGTCCTTCGTCACCAGGGCTGCCGCAGACCATGCCCACAAAAGCAATGCAAAGCGCGACATGCCGGGCAGAAATCTGCGTTGCTACGTTGAGCTGCGTTGATTCGATTCCTCGAGCCAAGAGTGCTGCGCGCCAAGGGCAAGTGATGGCTGCAACTCGCCACCAAGCAACACAACCAGTCTGTCTGGTCTGCTTGTGCCGTGTTAAAGTTGAAGGAACAGCGGCATCTGGCAACTCGTGCCACCATGCATATTTTTTGTCTTCGCTGAACGCTCGCAAAGCTGCGCGAAGAAATCGCGGATGCCTGGACCAACCGTATTCTGGGCAGACTAAGTGTGTGTGGGAAGAAACGGCATTCCCAGCCCTTCAAGTGCAGCCCAATGCAGTTTTCGCAATCATGAACTGTCTTCAACGCCAAGCCCTTGAAAGCAACATCCCCGCAAGCCATCCGGCAAGGAATCAGACAAGGGTTGACGTAAGTTACAGCCGGAAGTGCATCGCAGTCTTGCTTGCAGGGTACATCGGCACTCTTTCAAAGCAAATTCGCGTCGATGGCCTCCAGTGCTTTTCGCACAGAACCTCCAGGGTTGCTCTGCATTCGCTGTCGAAGCTGCGGAACGAAAGCACCTATATACAACTAACCAAAGACTTCTCATATACTAGCCCAGGGCGATGCAACGATTGTCCAGTAAACCCAAAATGCCATCGTTTTGGATGCCAGGCCTTCAGCTCTTGGCATGAGTTCCACGCAGCTGGCGCTCGGCTTCGCACTCCGCGTCTTTCAGGATCTGGCCGCCCAGGTCTAAGAGCTCAGGTGATAGGCTTTGGTTCATGTGCTGTAGGGCAGTACTGGTTGAATTGATGTCGGGGAATCACCTTGCTAAACATTCAGGCTTCTGCATTAACCCCGGCTCATCCGACATGTCCAAATCTTGCGGGGTCTGTAGCCCTGAACTGCTTTGCCAACCCTAAACCATTCTCAACCCTAACTAATGTAGCCTGACCCCTGAAAGCCTTCATATTGCATTATGAGATTGCGTGCATAAGCCTGCACTTTAGCAGGCCATAACTACCCAACCCAGCACCCTCGGGTCCTCCGCAGCTTGCTTTACACCGATCCTTACCGGCCTGCCAGGTGAATGTCCGGGGTGTATGTAGAAATTTGGGGCCTGAGAATAATTGGAATAAGGTTTGGGGGCGAGAGGGGGGTATATCATAGTATAGTTACATTAAAGGACGCCTGAGGAATGATGTCGGCCATTATACTTACCCCTGCAGTCGATGCTTGTTGCTGCGAGGGGAAGTAGACGTCTCGTGCCAGGTATCGCTGCTCTTCCTGCATCTTTCCCCCCCCAGGAGCCGTGCCAGCCGTAAAACTATAACCCCTATAAGCCCTATTAAACCCCCGTAGACCCCTATAAACCCGAAAAGGAATGAGCGAGAACGGAGCCTCAGCTTTGCCCAATACCAGCGACCGTAGTCGACGAAGAGCTCCTTCTCAGCAGACTCTTTAAGGGCTTCAGGGTTTTAGGGTCTAGCATCAGTAAGGCTGAACAGGGTTTTTGAGGTGTTGCAACATTTTCTTGTCTATCGGCTATCGGATCGAAAGTTCTCTGAATGATGGTCCTTTGGTCAAAATTCAGCAGTCCCTGACCGGGTGGCACTTGGCAAACTTTCGCCTGGCAGGTCCTTCCAGGTCTGGATTGCTGAACCCTGCAGCATCAAACAATGGCTGCAACAGACTCTCTGCAGTCTTGTAGGAACAGAACAGTATTTTAAGTTCTCAAAAACTTCCTGGGTAGCTAGACGTTTTCTGGGTGCCTTGATTCGGCTGTATTTGCGAATCTTAACTCTACATACATACATGCATACATACATACATGCATGCGTACATACATATCATACACACATACATACATACATACATACATACATGCAAACATACATGTGCATACATACATACATACATACATACATACATACATACATATATACATACACGCATACATACATACATACATACATACATACACACGTACATGCATAAAAAAAAAAAAAACGGATATGTACAGATATGTATATATGAATATTTGAAAATCTAATTTGTGTATCTGTGCACACGCAACACATGTGGTTGTTCGTTTCCGTTGGTATGTGCTTGGAAGTATTTGGATTTTTGCTTGCACCTAGGTTTACATTTATATATGTCTGTGTCTATACTTATACTTGTGTGTGTTTACATGGATACTAGTTTGTTTGTGCAACTACTCATGAAGCTCTGATCCTATGAACCAGCCAAAACCCTGATGTGGCCCACAACAGAATCAACCCCCTAAACTCTGAACCCCCAAACTTCCTAATGCAGGAGACTAAATCTATAATTGCCAATACTATTTTGGGGCTTCCTGATTATAACTAGAGTATAGCGCTCCGCAAAATTCTAATCGAGTAATTAAGGCCCCTGAAATTATAGTACCCTTATAGATCCCTTGTAGAACCCTTTTAAGGATCCTCAAAGGAACCCTATTCTGATTTCTTAAGGCCCCTTTCGCGTAATTTTCCTGCCTCTCCAGCGGCGATCGGCCGGCAGGCCACCACCAAAGCTCGCCCCTCTCCAGGTCGCTTTTCGAAGGATACATTGTAGACCTCGAGGTTTGGCTTTGGGGCTAGCGGTGGAGGATGCTTTAAGGCTGTTGCGAGCTTGGTGTGGTGCTGTTTTTTCAAGTGCATGCAATGAATGGCCGAAGGAAGGAGTTTCAGGATCTCCACAGCCAAGCTCTGACTTCTAATTGCTGGACCTGCCAACGTGTTGCTGCTTTCCATGCTCCTGGTGGTCGGCTTAACCGATAGGGATCTTTTAAGTCTCGGCGTCCAGGGATTTCGTTGGCAAACGCATATCAAAACCTCTGCAGCACGACCGTGAAGTCAGCAAAGCGAGAGCTGCCAATTTCTGCTAAACTAAACCATAAGTAAAGGGATTTAGCTTAAGTTACCATCACAAAAAACCATGTTGTTAACTATAGATCCCTACTATGGTAACTAGCTTATGGTAACTTAAAGTCTTTGACAAGAACCCAAGTACGGCTCCGTGTCAGCAACTTCGCGAAGCTTCTTGCTGGGATCGGACCAGTTGGAGGCCTCCAAAGCTGGGAGGAAGGCAGGTAGGATTAAGGATCCCCTGTATAAGGACTCTTATTTGGGGATTACCCCAGCTACCTTCATCCTGTAGGTAGGAGATATAAGGACTTTTATTTGGGGATTACCCCACCTACCTTCATCCTACCTTTTGAGGCCCCTGAGCCAGACCTCGTCTGCTTTCTTGCTTCGCGCATCGATCGCGGGCCAGCGCCGTGACTTCACGGCGAGGCGGCTGCCAAAGGCCTCGGGCACTCATGCACATGTGCAGGGGTGTAGGGTATACCAGGACCCCTTAATAGAGCCCTTAGGGTCCTTAATAGTGGGTATTCAGGGTATATTAGAGGGTAGTTGGGGGGTCTAGGTAGAGTTTAGGGGCTCAGCGGCTTAGGGTTTAGGGTTGCTTACAACAGGGGCATGATATCCCTGCAGACAGGTTATCGTGTCTGTCTATCGGCTATCGAAGTTCGAGGCTATGGACGTTCGACAGATAAAACACAACTGACGTCAAAAGAGCACCCGAGAGACGAAAATAGCTCCCGTGAGAGAACGCAAGCTGGCACAGTGGAACTGCGCAGGCAGGCGGCATTGGCAGTTGTGCCGCGGGCGTTCAGCGACCAGCACACTCACCGGAGGGTAACGGTACGGCAACATGTTCTCCGTCTCAGCCGTTGTCGTCCTCATCCTCGTCGAGGTTGCCCTCCGCGATCAGGGGAATCACGAAGAAATCCACAAGCCCATCCAGGTGGTCGAAAATTTCAATGTCGCTCATCTTCATCTTGTGCTCGATCAAGAACAAGGAAACCAGGATAACGTCTTGTGCCGAAGAAACAGCTACGACAAGCACGGATGGCATGTTTGCAGAGGCGATCGGGAGGACAATGGTGAGCAGCCCTTGCCACGCGATCTATGCTTGCAGGGCTGCTGAGTGAAATCAGCAACAGAGTGTCGACAACAACACAACAGAAACAACACGGGAATAAAACAGTGGTCTATCAGTTATGCAGCAAGAAGTGCCTTCGCCGCCCACGGCTAACGATAAAAAACCCAGCATGAGAACCATGGTGAATTAAGGCTTGACGCTTGGAGTAAGAGGCGATTGAATTCAGGTTGTAAGGTTTAGGGGCGCTACTTGGAAGGGCAGGGGACTTAGCAAGTAGGTTATAAGTACCCTAAATGGACATGGAGTTACCCCAATTATAACCCTACTTATGAACGACTTACTATGTCCTCTGCCCTTCCAAGTATCAGGGGACGAGACTGGAAGTATCAGGGTTTCGGAGCCACTGGAGGCGGACTGTGAGCCTCGATGGTACCTAACTTTAACAGCAGTCTTCACGGGCTTTTAACCGAAGATTGTAAAACCCTAAACCCCACCTAGACCCCCCAACTACCCTCTAATATACCCTAAATAGCCACTACTATGACCATAAAAAGGACTTATTAAAGGGTACTTGGGGGGTCCTGGTAAACCCTGCGGAGTAAAGCTTTCAGGTTGGAGGGTTCTAGGCTAAGGAGGCTTGGGAGTCGCAAGGATGCATTGTGAGTGGTAAGGGTTTAGGGTTTAGGGTCTGGTATTCTAATATAGAATACCTGAATAATATGGAAATTAAAATAAGGAGCCCTCAAAATATTACTTCTTCTTCTTCTGCGGACTTTGGGGCCCCGAAGGGCGCGTCCCATGCATCAAAATATTGCTGGTAATTATTTAGGCCCCTCTATTAACGGTGTTCAGGTCCCTCATTCTTCCAGCGTGGTGCCCACAACGCCCCCTGACCCCTGAGCCACAAATCCTTCAAGAGCCGCTGGGCCTGATATCTCTAAGCCGGAGCGTACCAGCTATTTGGGAGTTTCTGAAAACTAGTGGGAGAAGGAAGGGAGATGTGCAAAATGACCAGGGCTCCATATGGGAGTTTCTGAAAACTAGTGACACCTTATTTTGGGGTCCTTGAATAAGGATCCTCCGTCCTATATTAGGGTCCCCTGTTTTCGGAAACTCCCATTTCCCTCCCGAGCCGTAGCAAGCCAAGCAAAGCCCTGCACGCACCCGAATCCTTTTTGCTTGTTTGGGGAAAATTTGTAGGACTTTAGTCCCGCAATAAAGGGGCCTTAATAAATAGAATAGGGTTTTGGGGCCCCATAATACTACTATCATAAGAAGGAACCCACAAAATAGTACAGGTAATTATTACAGTAAGGCCACTAAAGCACTCATTTCCGCTCGACGAATCAGCAGAAAATCGGCATGGATGTTGCTCACGCGGCATTCCACATCATGGCCAGGCCCCCTGAGTAAGACCTAAGGCCAACTATGCGGTGAGGGTTTACTTGGAGGATAATTGAAGTTATAAGTAGTTATAAGTAGAGTTACCGTACTTATAACCGTAGTTACTATAAGTCCCATGATACTTTAGGTAGTGTTTAGGGTTTAAGGTTGGAGTTGCGGACTTCGTGTTGCAGTAGTTGTCATCATTGTAGTTGTAGTCGTATTGGTAGCTGTCGTCGCCGCAGTGAGAGCAACCGCAGCAGCAGAAGAAGCAACCGAGGAGGATCAGGAGCAGGCAGAGGAGGAGTTACGCCCAAAACACTCACACTAAATGAGCCTACACCACAACTACACACACGCTCACAACAGCTTCATTGACCACTGGAATCCCTAAACCCTATAAACCCTAAACCCCTAAACCCACAGTTCCTGAACTGAGGGGCAGCTGAGGCACGTCTTACCCGGTGGTGCCGATCCTGAGCGTGCCAGGCAAGCGCAGCGCACTTTTGGGAACCGTGATCTTCTTCCCGCCCGTGTCGGGCCCTCTGTAGGTCATCTTCAGCACCTTCCAGGATCTTCCAGCAGCTCACGGGTTGAAGCGCGGCTTCTTTTATCAAAAAGGGGGTTCGTGGGCCATTGCAAGTCAGGCTTGAAGGTTTGGGACCTATTGATCTTGGCCTGGCATGGTCCAGCACCTCACCATCTGAGAAACTGCTTCGAATCTGAAGCCCGCAGAAAGTTTCAACGCAAGGAAACCTGGGTTTCGAGGAGTGAGCCTTTCAGGTTCTAGGACCCTGAAAACTGTGGGATTGCAGAGACGAAGTCAGCGAGCCTCGCCCCCTGACATCTCGCACATGTCCACCTTCAGAGGGTAGACGCCAGACCTAAGGTTATAGCTGGCGCTTCGATGCTCCTGCGCGGCATGACAGCCGTTGTTGTCCACGATCTTCTGTCGGGCCAGCCAAAGGACCGAACCTCTCGAAACATTGATCTCGGACATGCATTCTTTGCATCTGATTGCACGAGTAGATCCGAAATGGTCTTTGACACTGCCCTTGCACACAACACCGCTCAACACATTAAAATCCGTAAC